CCTACCCCCGTCCACACCCACCATAGATCCCTGCTCATTATCTCTTTACCATCGTTCTCCATCACCCGTAAATCAGTGATATCCTCTTTACTTATTATATTATTCTCTCGCTCTTCATATTACTAAAATAGTTTAAAATTATCATTAAAATAAATGTTTATATATCAATTTATCATTAAAATAAATGTTTATATATCAATTTTGAAATGTTAAGAATTAATAATATTTTTTTTAAAAAAATCATCTCTACTAGAGCCGATCACGGGCCCGGGTATCCGGCCCGCCCGCAAAAGCCCGCCCGCAAAATAACGGGCTTGGGCTTGACATTTTAGGGTACGGGCCGGGCTTGGACCTTATAAATGGCGGCCCGAAGATTTTAGGGCCGGGCTCGGGTTTATGCTCAAGCCCACGGGCCCGGCCCAAATAAATTAAAATATTTATTATTAATATAATTATAATAAAATAACAATAACAACATTAATAATAATAATAAAGAACAAACCTATTTCAAATTATTATAAACACACATACATACTTCTATGGAGAGAAAAAATAAACTATAAGTTCATATAATAAAATGAATGCATCTTTACTACTTCGTATTGTTTGCAACGTATCGCACATTGATTATGACATTCCAATAGATAATATTTTGTACTCCATACATAGTAGCAATATCAAACAAAATATATTTATATATTAATTTTTCTTTCATTACTCATAATTGTTTTTATATCAAATATCTAATATATTAACTTGTTACTTTATTTTTTTTAAAAAAAATTATTTTTAAAATTATTTAGAAGTTTTTGTTGGTTGGGCGGGCCGGCCCGAAGCCCGCGGGTAACCATGCGGGCCGGGCCGGGCTCGGGCCTAGAAAATTCTCGTAAAGTAGTGTCTCCGCCCGGCCCGCACTTTGATCAGGTCTAATCTCTACCAAACAATGAAAAATGTTGGGGAAATATTAAAACCATTTCCCCTTGCAAAATATTGTTTTCAGAAAATATTTTCCCCGAACCAAACACACCTAAATACGGAGCATAACATGCTACTTCCTTCGTCCCAATTTAATTTTTTCGTTTCGATTTACGATATTTGACTAAAATTGAGACGGAGGGATAAATAAAAGTATAAAGCACATATGAAAAATAATTTTTATTAATTAAAATAGATTCTAATAATGTCATTTTTCAATAAATAGAAATATTTTTATATTAAAACAAAAAAGGTAAATATTTTTTAATAATTCAAATATAGCAAAAAATAAAAAATAAAAATAGTGACTTGTCACTATAGGCTATGCCACTTTACTCAGTTGCTACACACTCATTGAACTATTTTTCATTGGTTGAGAATATTCAACGTGAGTAGGTGGCATTCTAATTTTGCTCCAGCGTTGCTCGTGCTAATGTAACTCCTTGCCTCCTTGGCGTACACCAACAGGTTTGCAAGTAATATTATTGTACATGAAAATTTCCATTCTAACTCCTGTCCTGGAAACTTTCCTAGGCTTTTAGGCCTAAATTTGTAGTTTTACTTTACGTAATAATTTTGTTTGGGTGATTAATCTGTGTTAATCGTGCAACTGCAAAACAAAATCTTCCCCTTCCCTGAAAGAAAACGGGGACGAAATTTTGGTTAAAACCTGAACTTGAATGCACGCAGCGCAGCAGAGGGGAGGGGCGTCGTTCTACTGCAAACGTTCCCCATTAAAATTAATTAATTTCACCACTGAACAACCCCATCTATCTATAATTACAGAGAAGTGTGAGAAAGAGAGAGCGCCTGCTAGATCTTAGGGTGAATATATCATTTACAGAGAGACAAGGGAGCTACTGGGGTGAGTTGAAAGGGTGAATATATTTCATTCCGCGCAAATTGTTTCTGAGATTCCATGTTTTGATTTGGTTTGTTTCAGGGGACAATTTTGTTGGATCGTCCGGGATGGGGTTGATTTCCGGGATTCTGATGGGGATTCTGTTCGGAATCGGATTGATGGCTGGTTGGCGACACATGATGAGATATCGGAGCAGCAAGCGAACGGCCAAAGTCAGTTGATTTCTTTATGTTCTTACTCATTTCTTCATAATCCTTGGCCTAATCTTAGGGGTTCCTCTCAATTCCACACGTTTCTCTAATCTTCTCGTCCCGCGTGTTACTGAAACTGATTCTACTGTCCTAGTGCAAGGATTGATTCTTGTGTGTAGTTCCTTATTTGGATTCGGAAAATAGCTTCAGCTGGCCTGGATTGAGTCTGGGAAGAACGTCTAGCGTAATTTATGTGACTAAGTAGCTAGGCTTCATTGTATAGTTTCCAAACTTTGCAGATGATTTGCTTATGGTGAATTTCTCTCGGCCAAGTGCCATGCTGCATGCCATTTTATTGCTCCTAGCAGTAGAGTATCACTCAATTAGTCAATTTACAACAGCATAATATTTGTGCCGAGTGCTACCCAAAATCTTAAGTAGTTACTCTGATGATTTCCTCAAACCACTTACCTCTCTACACACGTGTTTTGTTATTTTGAATGTTTTCAAGTGAATTTATAACTTGATATTAATTGTTGTTCTTTTTTTATTTAATTTAAATTTATTTCCTGGCAGGCAGTTGACGTTAAACTAATGGGATGCCTTGACAGGGATGACTTGAAGAAAATATGCGGTGAAAACTTTCCTGAATGGATTTCATTCCCTGTCTATGAGCAGGTTGACTTTTTATCATGTATTCATTTATTATGTAGGGCTTCAAACGGACACAGTTAACTGTTCTTGCTAGAAAAAATATTTCCTCTTCATCTTCGCCTGATCCCGAGTTGGTATGGTGAAGCCTGAGAAGAGAATAATGTCTTCTGAAATTTTAGTGTTGTAAGATGTCAAAAGCACTCATCATCAAGTGCTTTGGAAGTTTTATGCGCATTCCCTTAATATCTATACATTTTTAAGGCCCTTTTGTCTACTTAATCTCATTTTGGCAGGTCAAATGGTTGAACAAACAATTGAGCAAACTGTGGCCGTTTATTGCTGAAGTAAGATATGTGATTGTTTAAAGTTTTGAAGTTATGAGATAGATATTGACCCCCCAAATAATACCACTATATGCCGGAGTCTTGTTCTAGGTAAAGAATGGATAGAATTATTTTCTCATAATTATTTGATGGAAACCACAAACTTTGGCATGATGATGGTTTACAATTGTGTGAAAATTGTATCATGCAATTGATTATACACTAGCTGACTAGCCCTCTATAGTTGGCCATTCAACAGTCAACACACATATAAACACATCGACAATGCCCTCACTCTACTTACAGGTAGAATTTTAAGCAGTGAATTTCTATTATGAGGTTTAACAGTCACAACCTTTTTTGCAACATCCAGTAGGAGCTGTTTCCATTATCACATGGACCAAAGATTCGTCTATTTTCTCATTTTCCTTTAAATGTGCATGTCTTTCATCTAGTTGGACCGTTGCTTTGCATGCACAAGTTGAATGGAGTGCAATGGTTCACTTTTTCCTTTTTGACGCTAAAAGAATTTCATGTCCTGATTGATTGGCCGATTTAGTTTAGAATATTCTTTCTTCTGGTCCACTAGTCCGTTAGTGTTTTCCTTTTATGGCATTTTTACAGGCAGCAGAGGCTATTATTAAGATGTCTGTTGAACCCCTACTAGAAGAATACCGACCTCCAGGAATTTCTTCGTTAAAGTTCAAGAAACTGTCCCTAGGAACCGTGGCACCAAAGATTGAAGGTAGCTTGCAATTAAAGAATTCAGATGTCAAATACTTTATTTTCATTCTCTCTCGTTTGATTAAAAATATGGTCTTGTCTCTTTGTTCATATTATGTTAAAAAAATTAGGAGTATCATTAGTTTCTGGTAACCTCTAACCTTGTTGAAAATGGCTCATCTGACTTCCATTACAAGTTATGCCAACAAAATCTACTTATTGTATGGTAGTGATGTCAGTGTTATAAAAAGATTGTTTAAACTATTTCACTTGATCGCATAAGGTAATTCATATAATTTTGTGGAACTGTACTAAACTACCCTAATCGTATTTGGACATTGACAGCTATATTAAATTTCTTAACTAAAGAGGGTCCTTGAGATGCAGCAAAGATTCCAACTAGGAAAACGTAGAGGTTATTGGTTGATTAATTATGAGTCCAATTAGGTTTGCTTTTATCTTGCGCATATGGTTAATGCAGGTATCCGTGTCCAGAGCCTTAAGAAGGGTCAAATTATAATGGATATTGACTTTCGGTGGGGTGGAGATCCCAGCATCATTCTAGCTGTGGAAGCTTTGGTTGCTTCTATTCCAATTCAGGTGGAAGGCCCTAGCATCCTTCCCGTCTGTCTGTAACTAGTTTCCCACATTGTACTTCGAGGGCATTATTTTTATGGACTTCCACTCACTTATGCTACTTTTAAACCAATTTTTAATTGCCTGCAGTTGAAAGATCTTCAAGTTTTCACAGTTATTCGTGTTATCTTCCAACTTTCCGAGGAAATACCATGCATATCTGCTGTTGTTGTTGCTTTACTTTCTGAGGTATAGCTTTACCTTCTCAGTTGATGATACATTGATGTTTGCATTACCAATGTTGAGATGTAGCTTACTTCCTCGTATGGGATGTCTTCGTTGGTCCTTTCATTGTTCCCTTTGTGTTATCATCCTTTATTTTCATCTTTTCTAGATTGTTTGCACAAGCTGACAAAATTGGATTTCAGCCAATTAATTTTAAATTTGAAACGTCTCATGTGTATGTTCATTCAGGAATATAGATACCACATCCTCCCTTTTTTTTCTTTTTTGTTTCATTCTCCAAAAAAAGAAAAGGAGAAAGAAAACTCTACCAAGGATCTGGTAGACCAGGTTTTCTAATCATTTCCCTTAACACTTTTCAAAAAATAAAAAGTAAGACAACAACAAACCAAGCAAAATCCAACTTCTTTGGGTCGAGATGTACTCAACCTTACCCGTCATACAATGTAAGAAGAGAAGTTTGATGTGCCATTTTGATTTAGTCCATTATTTACATTAAGTGGAAATATTGTCAAAAAGGACTCTTTTTAGCTCCATTGGCAATGGACGCAAAAAGAGGAGATCAAGTTCATTTTCACCCAATCCTGTGTTTCTCAGGTGTTAACTTTCTTCCTATCATTAGTAATCGTAACTCTATGCAAATGGTTTTTGAAGTTCATTATCAAGTTTTTGGGGGTTTGCTTTTAAGAATATGTTGAAATCTCAGTGCTTATGCTTGCTGTTAAAACAATGGACTAGTGATGTCTACCCACATATATCTTACACCTAGTCATCCCTTTCTGTGTTCTTGTTCCTAATAATAATCATCCTTTATTTGTGTTCCATACAACATTACAACATCGGTTATTTGATGTACACTGCAAATTTGATTAATAGAGAGTTTAGCCTCCTACGTACAATACAATTTACACATATTGACTATCTTACTCACCGTAAGGGAAGACTGATGGTTACCTTTTCGATTCTGTTAGCCAAAACCAAAAATTGATTATGTGTTGAAGGCTGTTGGTGGAAGTTTAACAGCCGTTCCTGGAATCTCAGATATGATTGATGTAAGCATAAGTATTATATCTAGTTCAAATTTGTTATGTTTCTGCTAGTTGTTACTCAGCCACCCCACTGATAGTGGTGTTCTTTTCACAGGACACTGTAGAAACCATTGTTACAGATATGCTACAGTGGCCCCATAGAATTGTTGTTCCAATCGGTGGCATGGATGTCAATACAAGGTCTGTTATAGCCTTCCATCTCTATAGTGTATATAATAGAGATATATAACTGTTCCTCCCATTTTTATCTTGTCTTTTGTCTTTTTGGGCCATCCCTAATTATACTTTCCTCTTTGTCTTAAGGAAAGAATTGCATGGTGCATATTGATTCTTTCGTTTCTAAATAAGTTTCAACCCCAATTTATTTTCTTAAACTGACTGTAAAAAGAAAATGGGATATTTAAATAATGACTGAGAGAGTACTCAGTCAGTACCACTGACTAATAACCAAGAATTTCTTTTTGAATGAATTTTTTATCTATAATGCAGTGATTTGGAGCTAAAGCCACAGGGAAAGCTCACAGTAACTATAGTCAAGGCTACTAACTTAAAGAACCAGGAAATGATTGGAAAATCGGATCCATATGCAGTTATTCATATCCGTCCACTGTTCAAGGTTAAAACAAAAACTATAGACAACAACCTCAATCCTGTTTGGAATGAGACGTTTGAGTTAATTGCAGAAGATAAGGAGACACAGTTTGTAACCCTTGAGGTTAGTATAGTTCCTTGCTAGTTTATTGATTAGTACAATTACAAATTTCCAATCTTATGTGTATTTTATGCACCTTTTCTTTGCCAAGTGCCTTGAAATTTGGCCTGTTCAACTCTTAAAGTTTTGTGTATCCTTTTGTTAAATCCTTTTCATAATTACTATAAAAAATACATTATCGACACTAAATAAATAATCAGATTTCTACATGCATGGCCAAAATTTGATTGCGAAGTGTGCCACATGTTAGGGCTAATAATTTCCTACCCTCCACAGACCCCACTTGTGTTTGTTGTTGTATTATAGCTAACAATTTAAGCTCAAATTTATAGGTAATTTCAAGTAGGTAGTTTATGGCTTCATCATCCACTATCATTGATTCTAATCATTAGCCTAAAGTTTCTACAATAGACTCACTCGAACTGAAGAAATTTAATTAGAGATTAGGCTTTAAAAAAATTATAGTTATATTTTCTGGATTTGTTTGAAATTGAATATGAATTGCTTGGTATGGGAATTACATGCTAGAGTTTCATATTAATAACCATCTTTCTGGATCACTAGCTGATTGTTGTTGCATTTTGAGTAATAGCTGGACCACGTTGATTGTGATTATCAATTTATTCTTCTCTTAAGATTGTAAACTCTTATGAATGCATTCATTGTTTCATTCCTTTTTTCAACAGGTCTTTGATAAAGACAACGTTGGGCAAGATGAGCGAATGGGAATTGCCAGGTTACCTTTGAAGGATCTTGAAGCCGACACCCTAAAGGAAATTGATTTGCAATTGCTGCCAAAACTAGATATGCTTAAAGTCAAAGACAAGAAGGATAGAGGGACCATTACAATTAAGGTGTGTTGCCTGCTTTGAACTATACAATTTTGAGTGGTATCTGGCTTTTCCTTTTCTAGTATTATTTTTTGGGAATATGAACAATATTTAGAGCCCGTTTGGCTAGGGTGAACTTGGCAGAATTTGTAATTGATTTTGATGAAGTTGGAATTTGCTGAATTGCGGGGGAAAAACTCTGATTAGATAAAGAAAAAAAGTTGCAAAATGGGTTGATATTAGAAACCAAAATAACATTATCAACTTCAGCTAAAAAGTTTCTCCAGCCCTTGTTATTTTCATTAGAAACCAATGAAGAAACCAACGGCCACTTATTACTATTCCCGGGTAATCTGAAGTAGGCAAATACTGTAAGTTGATATTGAATGGTTTGACCAGGTCCTGTATCATGAGTTCAACAAGGAAGAGCAGGAAGCTGCACTGGAGGAAGAGAAGAGAATCCTGGAAGAAAGGAAGAAACTGAAAGCAGAAGGGGTGATAGGGAGCACAATGGATGCCCTAGACGGGGCGGCATCACTTGTCGGCAGCGGCATAGGCGCTGGTGTTGGGGTGGTGGGAAGTGGGTTCGGAGCCGTTGGTAGCGGGCTGAGTAAAGCTGGAAGGTTTATGGGCAGGACGTTTACTGGGGGGAGTAGCACAAAGGGTCAGAAGAGCGCGGGCCCCTCGACCACCGCAGCCAACCCTATTCAAGAAAACGGCCCCTCTAAGCCGCTGTAAGACCGCCAAATAAACATGTTTTTTTTACAGTGCTAGGCATTTATTCATATCAAGCGCGGTTTTCATTTCATCATGTTTATACATTCTCTTCTGGCTTCTTGGGTGTGTTTGGCTCACATAACACTGTACAGAACTTGCTCATCATCTCTTCAAATTCTTAGAACAGAAGAGCTGTGGTTTATTAAGACTCTGTTTTCCTGTGTTTCGTCTGTCTCGGCCCTTGATGGGCTGGTGCTATCAGGTGTATATATATTGGTTTGATCATCGTAAATATAAACTAGGACTAATGATATCAAAAACTAGATCGAGAAGAAAAAAATACAAATTTTAATACTTTTATTAATTAATGATATTTATATTAACATTTCCAAGATATATTTATTATAATCATAGTTTGTCTGGTTGTTGACCCGGTTTATCCCGATCCATCTGATTAACTCTTGACCCAATCGCTTGTCCAGGACGGCCGGACGATGTCCGGTCCGATTTTAAAAACATTGATATTTAGAGCACTGGAAATGATCATGAAGCCTCCAGGCTTCAAACCTTCTCTCTACCACATCAATTTTAACTTCAATCACAGTTCTACTACAAATGGGTTTGAAGCACGAGGCTTCAAATTGGGCTTCAAACTTTTTTAAAATTTTTTAAAACACATTTTATAATAAATTAATAACATTTGATTAATTAATTAAATTTAAATGACAATAATTCATTAAATAAAAAAAAGTACAATAAATAAAAAAGACATTAAATAAAAAAGAAAGGCTTAAAAATACTTGAACGTCAATAAAACTTAAAAATCACACTATATTGAGCGACTAAAGATATATTCAATCAAATTCGCCATTAGTTTAAAGGTCCCATTTTTTTATGTAATTTGTTGAGAGAATTAAAAAAATAGAATATTTTTTTAGATCAATTATAGAGAGATTGAAAATATGTAGTGTGTATATTACCTTGGGAGGGGGAGACAACGGTCCTCTGCTGCGTCAAACGTTTAACGCAGTAGCGTTAACGCCATGATAACATGCATGAGGAGCGGTCTTTAACGCCATGACATTAAAAGGGGATAATGCATAGTGGCATCAAGTGCAGTTCCCCTGGCCTTACAAGAGAAAACTTGAACCTTCTCACCTCACCCCCACCCCACCAATGGCTAAAAGAGCCATTAAAGTCCCAATGGCAGTGTCGGGCCGCCTCCCCCTCCCATCTAATTCAAATTAATAAAACAAAAATAGGCAAAAGTGAACAAACAATCGAAACCAAGCGGTTGAAGTGCCAAAACCACCATCCCGTCACTCGGTACCACCCTGCATGGTGCTGGTGCCGGTTCCAACAGCCCGCCGCCATAATTCATGGTTCCGAACTTAGATCAGATTTAATTAAATCTCATTAAATCAGGTCCAATCAGAATTATTATTATTATTATTATTATTATTATTATTATTATTATTATTATTATTATTATTGGCGCCCCACAAACAAACAGTTCACAAAATTAACAGATTTACCTTTTTAGTATATTTTTAGAAATAATATGCACTCAAATAAAAAAACATTTTAATTTAAAATCTACAAAAGACAAATTTGTGAACTACTACGTGTATGTTTGTGACATTTTGTTCAAAAAAAAAAAAAGAAAAAAGAGGAATGGAGCCTATCTCAATTCTCACCTAAGCGTTCGTCTGGACTTAGAGGAAGTCGAGTCAGCATACTCCTAGTCCCAGCGGGACTCGAAAATGGAGGAGAAGAAGATGAAGAGGTAGTTTGAATGCAAACCAGTTCCATATGAAACTTCTCGCCTGTAGTATTATTTCTTACTCGTAGATCACACCCTACCTCCTCCTTCGAGAAGATGTCTTCAGGCATCCTGAGTACCGGCGGGGGTGACGCGCCGCCTCAGCCGGCGCCACCGGCTGCTGCAACCGGCGGGGAGTTCCTTCTCCAATTGCTTCAGAAACCTGCCAGTCGCCCTTCAGGTGGTCCTAGACCCGGCCATGCGCCTACCCTCGATCCGGCTGTTGCCAGAGTGGGCCCAACTCTTCCGTCACCGCCACCTTATCGGAATCCGCCTAACGGCCACGGTTACCATACCTCTTCATCCTGGCAGCACTCTCCACCTCCGTCCGCCCCGCCCTTCTTTGCTCCCCACGATTTCTTCGCTCATGGGTTTCCCCAAAACCCTAACCCTAATTTACCCCCCGGCCCGAGTGTCTACAATCAAACCTCGCGTCAGCACATTTCCCAACTAGGTCATGGTTCGAATTCCCAGCCTCATTCTTCTCATCAGCTCGAGCAAAATCTCTTCTTTGGGTCTTTGCCCATGGGCCTGACTAGTAATGCGGGCTTGCGAAACGGAGGTCTGAATGAAAGGGCAACACGAGACTCTGAAATTAGGAGCCACATTCACACTGAGAGAACATCTACTACCAGACAAGCTGGTAGGTTGAATGGTTTAGAGACCCAGTTTAATAATTCGTCTCTACAAAACCGATACAATCAAGAGAGTTCGGCTGGCTTAATTATTCACGAGCAGGGGAAGCATGGTGGTGGTGCTAGGCATTGGGGAGAGAATAATAGTGGGCGGGCACCCCCAATGGGCTCTGCTAACCAGTTTAGGAATGTAGGAAATGCAGGACATGGTAATGAGTTGAGATACTTTGAACATGGTGTGGATAAGGGGAAGAGCCATCACAATGTTGTGAATCAAAGGCTCATTGATCGATCTGGTCCATCCCCAGGAAGCAATATGCCGGCTGTTTCAACTTTTGATTTTGAGGAATCACGTGGTGGCGATGGCCCAAGTACCGTAGAATCCAGAAATATGGTGAAGGGTGATATGAGGACAGCTAAGGATGAAAGCCAGAGTTTAGAAGATTTACAAGAACAGCTCTTGAGTTCTCTTGGGATTGAAGATGGATCGAACGAGCGAAAAGATAAGAATAAACGATATGGATCTCGTGAAAAGGTAATGATTTGAAGGAATGTTAATTTTTTTGTTTCCACGGTTTCCTCCCCACCCCCACCCCCTGTTCTTTTCCCAACAAATTTCTATTTTTGATTGAATACTGTTATTTTTGCTGTTGTGTCATTAATATCAACAAAACCAGGGTTTTAGAATATATAATGTTGGCATAATGGTTCATACTTCGTAGTGTACCATTTTTGTTGATCAATATTTTCATCAAACAATGCTTGAATTTTTTGTTTCTCGTTAATGGATTTCGTCTATACCTTTTTTTTGTTACGTTTTAAATTGTGCTCATAGAGGGCTCTTCACGTACTATAATGTCAGGACAACAACAGATCTGATGATAGAGGAAAATGGCTACTTGGCCAGCAGAAGAGGATAATGAAAAGTCTGGTAGAATGCCGTAGTGATATACAATGGTATAATGGTCATTTCCTCAATATTTATCAGTCTCTGATACCGTCTGAGGAAGAAAAAGCAAAGCAAGATCAGTTAATGACACTGTTAAAGAATATTGTTGCTAAAGAATGGCCTGATGCTCAGCTGTATCCTTATGGATCATGCTCCAATTCATTTGGGTTTTCAAAAAGTGACATTGATATTTGCCTTGCAATTGGTGACAAGGATATCAATAAATCAGACATCTTATTAAGGTTGGCTGAGCTATTGAAGGATGAAAAGCTCGAAAATGTGCAGGTAAGCTTTTTGTGATGCTGGCCTTATGTTTTATGTGCATATCATATAATTATAAATTATATAAGTTTCTTAGATAGCTTATTGCTCTTTGACATGCATAGGCATTGACACATGCCAGGGTGCCCATTGTCAAGCTCATGGATCCCGAAACTGGTATATCTTGTGACATTTGTGTGAACAATTTGCTGGCTGTTGAGAATACGAAGCTGCTTTGGGACTATTCACGGATAGATGCACGATTGAGGCAATTGGTTTTTATTGTTAAACACTGGGCTAAATCAAGAGGAGTGAATGAGACCTATCGCGGGACACTATCTAGCTATGCGTAAGTCAAAGATANGTTTTATGTGCATATCATATAATTATAAATTATATAAGTTTCTTAGATAGCTTATTGCTCTTTGACATGCATAGGCATTGACACATGCCAGGGTGCCCATTGTCAAGCTCATGGATCCCGAAACTGGTATATCTTGTGACATTTGTGTGAACAATTTGCTGGCTGTTGAGAATACGAAGCTGCTTTGGGACTATTCACGGATAGATGCACGATTGAGGCAATTGGTTTTTATTGTTAAACACTGGGCTAAATCAAGAGGAGTGAATGAGACCTATCGCGGGACACTATCTAGCTATGCGTAAGTCAAAGATATTTTATTTTACTAGGGATATTTTCATGTTCTTTGTTTAATACTCCCTCCTTCCCGAAGTATTGTCCAGTATTCCATTTTGGGCCATCCCAGAGTATTTGTCCACTTTCACTTTATGGAAAACACAATTGATATCAAAAGCCCGTTATACCCTCATGAATCAGCTCCCACCAATTACTAGTTTTAGATTGCATTTCTTGCTCCCACCATTACTCTCTATGGTCTAGAGTTTCCACAAATGCTTTCAATTTGAAACAGTGACCTTCACTCTCTCTCTCTCTCTCTTTCACTCTCTCGTTTGGAGTTTGCAAGGAGGCGTTCCATTTGTAGCAGTAAATTACCGGACGACATTCAATTGTAGGAAAATTGTCTGAGATTTGCAGGCGTTCCATTTGTAGATCTGGCAGCGTCGCCGGGTCACAAACTGATGGTGGGGGGATGTTGGGTTGTGGGCATCTAGTTCAGGGCTGGGCAGGGAGGGATGGGGCGAATGATCAAAGGGGCATTTGTGACATTTTATCTCTTTATTCTCTCTACATTAGATTGAGTGGTAAAACGAAAGTTGACAAATATTCAGGACAGAGGGAGTAGCTCAATAAATTTGTTTCTTCTTATTTATGCTTTTCTTGTTATGCACCATAATGTATGCCCACTCTTGAATGCAGGTATGTTTTGATGTGCATTCATTTGTTGCAGCAGCGTAGGCCTGCCATTCTCCCCTGCCTGCAGGTGTGCCTTGATCTAGGGATTTTCTTTTCTAGTTTCTCATTTTCCAACTTTGGGCAGATATTCGGAGCGAAATTGCACTTAAAAAGAAAAGTTTCTGGGTCCAATCTGCATCCGAGGGACAAGACAACTATTTAGGATATAGCCACACATTTTTCATCTGATAAAAGTGTTTTGTTCTTTTGTCAAATCATAACTAGGGAATGAAAGTCACATACTACAATGCCGTTGATAATGTGGAATGTGCTTACTTTGATAAAGTGGAGGAGCTTATAGGCTTTGGAGCCGGTAATCAAGAAAGTCTTGCTCATTTAGTATGGGCATTCTTCACCTATTGGGCATATTGTCATGACTACGCAAATGATGTCATATCTGTACGCACGGGGCGAATACTGAGGTAAGATTCCCACCCTATTACTCACCATTTCTTATGAAACTGATAACACGGCTCGGCGTAATTGGCACCTGCCCAATGTGATGTTCAAGAATTGCATATTTGGTACCGTATATTTCATGTGGTACCCAAATGGTACTGTTGTTAATTGTTAGGAGTTGGGACTACTCTCATGCTCTCGGTCACATAATTCATTTATTGGGTCAAATTTTTTGAAGACTCTCAATCTTAAAAATTTCAAAATGTCACTCACTGTGTTTGTCCGAATAACAGCAAGCGAACCAAGGATTGGACTAGAAGGGTAGGGAACGATCGGCATTTGATATGCATAGAAGATCCATTTGAGGTGTCCCATGATCTGGGTCGAGTGGTAGACAAGTTCAGCATAAGAGTCCTAAGAGAGGAGTTTGAACGTGCCGCGGAAATAATGCAGCACAATCCAAATCCCTGTGTGAAGCTCTTTGAACCCTATGTTCCAAGCTGAACCACCACCACCATTGCCACCACCACCGCCACCCTGTGTGGCAGCCAAAAGAGAGTGAGATCCGGAGTTCGGTTCTGCTGTAAATTATTTGATTGCCAAGTCTAGTTTATTCCTGCTGTTTGCCGTAATAATGTTCATAGGTTTTTGCGTGTATTTATTTTTCTAAGTTTCCATCCGTCCGGCTCGGGAGATAGATAAAGCTGGATGGAGAATGTATTTTGAATTAAATGCTCAGTGTTTTATTATCCCATTTTCGTTGGTCTTGTTTTACTCTTTCTTGCAAAACTTGTTATGCTTCTCTTTTTTTTCGTTCGACCCAGAAAAATATTCCATTAAATTCCCTTGAAAAAATGTGATTCAAAAACACTCTCTTGTACTTTCTTTGTCTACTTTGGATTAGAATGTTTGATAAAAATTATTTTCAATGTATATAATTATTTGAGAATTGAGGTGAATTAGAAAATTAAATTTACTTATATAAAAATTAACATTAAAAGTTTTTTAAAATAAAGAGTGACATGAGAATAGTAAAACTTTTTTATAGATAAAGCTGGATGGAGTATCAAATTAGTAAAAAATTAAGAAAATAAAATGAATAAAACAAATAAATTGATTATGTGAATAGTAAATACTACGTATATAATTTATTGTTTGTTTCATTCAACTTATTTTTTCAGTTGATTTTTATTAAATTTAGATCAGACCAGATCTGATTTAATCAAATCTGATAAAAATTAACTTTAAATATAACTAAAATCAGAATAAATCTAATCAGATCCAATCTTTAAAAAATAAAATCAAATTAGACGAACGAAACACAATCTTAATAGAAAAGAGAATGACTAAAAAAGTTTTTTTTTTGTGAATGAACCGACAAAGGGGTTAATGGAACTAATTTTCTATACTAAAAAATAGGGGTGGGTTCGGTTTTTGTGGTTCGGTTTTTACCCAAAACCAAAGACAAAACGGAAGGTAAATTGGCGGTTCGGTTCGGTTTGGTTTTGCATAAAAAATATGTAAACCGTTGGTTATTCGGTCCGGTTTTATACGGTTTTTATTTCGGTTTTTTTCAGTTTTTTCGGTTTATAAAAGTAGAAATTTATAAGCATTAAAAAATTGTAAAAACACTAACTCGATGGAGCAATAACAATATGTTGTGTTAGGTTTGGTTTTTTGGTTTGAGTTTTACACAAAAACAAAAATCAAACGGAAGGTTATTGTATCATTCGGTTCAATTTTACATAAAAAAAATTTGTGTTGAGTACCGAACAAACATTTAGGAGATTCCAAATACTTCCAAAGACATCGTATGTAAAATTAATTGTGAAGAATTTGAGTTTTTGGTATAATACTTTCATTTTCATTATAACATCAAAGTATTTTTTTATATAAATATGTAAATTACTCGTATCAATATTTAATGTTAATATAATTCTATATTTGGATTAGCTATTGGTGTTTATATTCTTAGATTTTTTAAAAGTTTATAATAGTATGGCTAAAATGTTTAATTAATAGTTAAGAAAATAATTTTAATCGACTATAAATTTATTTGAATTTATATTTCTATGATTTTTCTACATATCACATATATTTATACAAAAAAACGTGAAGTATCTAAGAAAGTTCGGTTTATTCGGTTCGGTTCGGTTTTTCAAAGTGAAAACCAAAACGGAACCAAACACTAACGGTTCGGTTCAGTTTTTTTACATTCGGTTTCGGTTTTTTCGGTTCAGTTTTTTTTCTAGCTCGTTTCGATCGGTTTCGGTTCGGTTTGCGGTTTTCCCAACCTAGCCCTACTAAAAAACGCATTGGAATTATTTGCATTCTATAGTGCAATGATAGTATAGATATATCTATAAAAAAGGGGCAATAAAGGAGAGGTCCAGAATTAAAAACATGTTGGTTGTGATGGGGAGCAACCATACATAGCATGTCACACACAAAACTCTTATTCAATATACTTCTCAACTAATTGTCAGAACATAACTGATACACCATCAAGGATGGAAGTTCATCTTTTATGAAAAAAGGCTTGTTTTCATTTGCATTTAGAAAGGATAGAGCAAACATAGGAAAACTTGGCATTTTTCCCCTAGCATTTTCAAATTTATTAACATTCTCATTAATAAAGAAGACTTGTTCGGTATAGGTGGATACGTGTTCAAAACAAACATAGGAACTTGTAATGCAAAACATAACAAAAAAAATTGATCCCCCACAAATATTGATAAATAATATGCAGAGTATTCCATAATGGGCAATAAAGTCAGTTAAAATGCAACCAAGTCAGTCTACTTTAGGTCTGAAGCACAAATACACTACAATGTATATAGAAACAGAAGCTGGAAAAACAAGATACAAATTCAAGGGAAAAAGCCCAATGGCACAACATCATATGCTTAGGCGGTGTCATCTCCCTGAATGTTCATTCAAGTAGTATCAGATCGTTGAAAACGAATGGCCACATCCAAGTAGTCACCTATCTGCAGATAATCCAAAAAAGAAAATACAAGTCAAACACACATACGCTTATATGCGAAAAAATGGATCAGAAAAACAGTGATGATATTATAAGTACCTCAAATTTAAGATCACTCAGTGTTTGGTGTCCACTGTCTGGTCGTCTTACACTTGGAATGGAATGTGTCTCTCCTACCTGTAAAACACTAACTTGTAAGCCACAAAAACAGCACATCCTTTTTAACCATCGTTAAAAATTCATCGAGTTCCCAAATTAAGAAGTGGAAAGTACATGTTTGACAATATATCGGCCAGTTTTAGCAGGATAGACAAAAGAGAAGGACAAAACAGCATCTCTTTTTCGTGCTTCAGGTACCACTTCTTTAACCTGAGACAAGATTGTATGAGAAATAAACGGTAAGCAAGGCAGTGTATTACCTCTAGTGCCATGGGTCATGAATCGATGAATCGTACTCATATATACTACAAATTATTTGCTGGTTTGCCTAAATTTATCATATGTGACTTCTTGTTGTCAATGACTCTTTATTTATCAATTGTTTTGGCAAATTACAGTACATGAAAATATTAGATTTTCTTGACCAAACTTGGCTCTTTCTTTTGGGACAAAAAGTGCTTAAAAGACAGACCTTCTTTAGGAATCTGTGAGTAGTGAATTGGGAACCTGGTGGAGGGGTGCAAAGTAGTAAACAAAGAGATCTTGGCTAGATAAACAGGAAGTCGAGGTATGTAAGCAGATATGTAATGATACCAGATCAGTGAGTTCACGTAGACTAGCATCCATCCAGGTATAAATTTGGACTTCATCTTTAGGCACCTTCCCCCTCACAGCAAAGTCACTCTCAGTGTGATGGCCTCCGACCTGTAAAATGAAATTTTAGAGCCCAGATCAGTGAGGCCCTGATGGATTACAAAGACGATAGCACTTTGAGACAGTTTGAATCTGTTATAAACATCATACATGAAAAAGATGGGGGAATGATACTATGCCTTGTGACACAATGGTATGAAACAATGTTCATACCTTGGTGAAAACACGAAGCAGCAGTGGACATGTCTGGCAGCGACGAGCCCAAAAAGTATAAGATAGAAACAGATAAAAATGAAAAATCATTAGTAGGGTAAAAAGAGTAGACCAAATAGAGCATAAGCGCAGTGAGTATAGAGAAAACCTTAAAAAAACTTGAAGTAACAACACAAATAGACAACATTTACGGAATATTTTACTCGTACAACTCGGGGAAAGGAATTGAAGCTATCGTACGAGCTCACCAATTCCAACTCTTATTAAAATTCGCGTATGTTACAACCCCCTATTGTCATGTCCATAAATGGATTGATATTGCAAGACATGCAAATCATGGAAAATAATGAACATTACATCTTACTATTCAAGCATTTGAAAATTCCTTTTACAGGTTTTCAACCTCTCCATCTCTACCTGTTATTATCATGTCATCACAGAATGACGATAACTAGCAATACACTTGGGAAATGTAAGTAGGGACTAGGGAGCATTAACAAAACATATCTTTGGTACTATAAAGTCTATAATACACACAAGAATAAACTGAAGAACATTAAGCACTGAAAAAAACCATTTTTTTGGCACTATAAACAACTCAATAGTAATTGAAAAGATATATGCTTCTGGAAAAGGCGACAATTCCTACAGTTTACAGAGCGCCAAAACCCTAGAGACTCTCAATTGATCAGATACTCGTGCACAAAACCCCAAAATCACTTGAAAAAACACAATATAGAAACCATTCCAGCTTAATATCTTCAAGCAAACACATGAATTCATGCATACAGATTAAACAGCTCTGTTGAACTCAAGTGGATGTTTTACCTTCTCGCGATCAACAGGTTCGGATCGAGTGACGGGCTTTCCCTGCACCGGACCAGGCGGGCCTCTCGGCGGACCTGGTGGCATCGGCCTTCTCCTCTGCACATCCGCCATTGCTCCCTGGCTCTCCTCGACCTCTCCCCTTTTTTTTTCTCTCCCCTTCTAAAACTCAGAAGGCTGAATGAAAAGGGGCCAATGAATTTATCGCGGATTTGATTTGGAAGCGCTCTACCTAAAATACTAAAAGCCCAAACATGAAATACCTAGAAGCCCATACAATTCTCTCTTTTGTAGATATACAATAAGCCATTGCATTTCCAGTTTTTATTTATTTATTTTAAGCCCATAACATATCTCTCAAGCTAAAGACTTTGGGCCCGTCCTGAATTGGGTAGTATAATATCACATTCAAACAAATAAGAAATGATCTACATCTGGTATTCAGTCTCTTTTAACGCTTAAAAAGTTGAGATTAATTGGAACAGATATTACACTGATGGGTACGATAGCTACTAAAAAAATATAATTTCAAATAATCAAGTTTAGTATATCGAACACTGATGAACAAATTTAGTGATAATCACTAACCTTTTTTTTTTAAAAAACACTTTTATCCAACAACAAATAGTCAAACGATCTAAAATAATTAAACATGAATGAATAGAGTATATACTCCCCCTGTCTTACAAAACTTTTCCTTTTTGAAAAAAATTGTGCCTTTAAAATGAGTAATTTTAATTTTATTTTTTAATTATGACTTATCTATCCTATACATTGCATTCTACTCTATTACGGAGTATAAAGTAAGGGTAAATTAGAAAATAACACCAAAATTATACATTTTAAAGGTGTGCCTATTTTTCAAAAAGGAAGGGTTTTATGGGACGGATGGAGTATATTCTTGTCAATATTTCTTTTGAAAAAAGGATAAACCCCATCCCCGAGGGACCCTCAGACTCGGCCGGACGATCATTGAGAGGATGTAAATTATACTTTAATCGTAGATTGGTGGCAAAGGGTGGAATCTGCACCTGGTACTTCTTGCAGATGTCATATGCTTATTATAGTTGTCTCCCAGCGCAGTTGCAAGAAATCGAACTCGGGTCTTACTTCCTTGACATCTCTTGTCTTTACCAACTACGCAATCCCACCGGCTATCTTTTTT